CATTGTACTAACTATTAACCGGAGTAAAACCAGATTAATGTCCACATTAGTTCTACATAATTTGAGTCTTCCATTCCTAGAATTAAGCAATTAAATGAACTATCAAACAGATATGTCTTTTCTATTACCAGTACTTTCAGGTGAGACCATGCTATGATCAATCACAAAACTGTTGGCAGCATGAGTTTGATCTGATGCTCTTTGACATTTCATAATGAGGTGCTAACCTTGTGAAGTGGTTTATTGATTGTTTGTCTTTTTAGTTAAGCAGCTCGCTGGAGTGCGACTATTTTGATTCTTCACTTGCGCTAGATTGCTGGAAAAAGGGGCAGACCCAGTGTCGGAGGCTCCCACATGAGTAGGGTCTAGGGAAGGAAAAAACCGAGGCAAGCCTTCCCCCTGCAATCTGCGGAGAGGTTGTTTCGAACCCACGACTTGGTGACTCAGTGAGACAGCTCTCATCACTACACCAGGCCTGCCCTTCTTGCGCTAGATTGCTGGAGCATTACTAAAATGACTTTAGTAATATTGCACAACAATGTTGCATGGGAAAAGTCCGTTTTCCTCTGAAATCAATATAGCTGGCTACCATCACACAGGGAAAGAAAAAAAAAAGAAAAGAAAGAAAGGCATCCGAAGCACCACCATTTTCGTTTCAGTTTTATCAGGCCACCGAGCGAGGAGAGACTACTATCTACACATTGAGATTGTTCAGCAACGTAGGAGTATTAATTTTATGCAACTACTAACATGATCTTTTTAACTTTATATTTTGTGAAATTCCTATGTGTATATGGATAGTCATGATGTCATGGTGACATCATTAAGCTAGCAGCAGAGGCAGAGCAGAGCATGCGGCGGCCGCGTCACAGCTGCGCTCGGCCAGCTCTCGTCCCGGAGAGGCGGCGCAGGAGTTGCACACGCGCCTGCGGCCAGGAGCCGGAGGGTGACCGAGCTGCCGGACCCGAAGCACATGGTGGCGGGGTTAGGCCGGATTTGGGATAGAGCCCAATCCGTCTCCATTGTAGCGAGGAGGGCGGCAGCGCCAGTAGCCGCTGACAGACTGCTGCACGGTGGAGTGACGATGCGGACGTGCATTACGGCGTGCGGGGCTACGGCGCGGCGGAGAACGGGCCGCGCAGGTCCGCGGGCCTGTAAACGCGACGTAGGGATGCGGGGGCCACGCAGACGGGCTCCCGTGCCCGGGATCTGCGGACAGGTTGTGCGACCCTCCCTCGTGTGCCGGCAAACCACACCCCGCCCGCCGCTGCCCTCCTAGGACCTCCGGCGGCCTGTGACAGAGGCGTAGAGCAGAACAACCCGGGCGCCGTCGAACCTCGGGCAGGAGAAGGGAAGACCGCGGCTCGACTCCCGCGAGACAAGGCTAGAGTCTGGAGGAAGATGGAGAACGGGTGGTGTTGGACGCCGCGATGCCGATTAATGTCTTGACCCTAAGAAGGCAATGGACTGAGCAGGGACGCCCTTCGGGAGCTGTGCTAGTTCCAATCTCGGCGTCTAGAGACCCACGATGGGCATGAGTGGCAATTGCAGGGGGCGGCGGTGACTGAGGGGCAGCTGGCGTATGAGCGAGCGGGGCAGCAGTCCGAGGTGGGAGGGGCCGAGGGGGCGACCGGGCAAGTCGAGTGGGTTCGGGAGCATTCATGACGGCCCGATCGTGGCTTAACGGGTAGGAGACCCGTGAAGATAATGATCGGACGGTCAACATTGCTGGTTCCCCAAATTGGACGGCTAGTGGGCTAACGGGCGACGTGGCCCTATCCGTTAGCCCGCTTTTTAGTGCAGAAATCGTACATAGAGATTACATTGATTGAAAACTACCGTGGACTACATGTACCACGACGATCCTGACGAAGACTACAGTGATTTCCTCTTCTATCTTGTTCTTTTCTTTCCCAGCGTGATAGCATACTACACGTAGCACGACCTGGAGATATTCGTCAGGTTCGTTTGGCTTATAAATCGTATTTTTTCAGCCAACGAACAAGATTTTTCTCTCACAACAAATCAGCCAATAGTATTTTCAGCCATGACTTATCGGCCAAGTGAACGGGGCAATTGCTGCCGGCGCTCAACACGACGTCGCCACGGCGAGGAGCACGTGGTTGGCGCTCGACAACACGGTCGCGCAATAAAACGCAAATTCCAGGATGGCTCACACCACGGTAGACCAGTGGGTGCATCACCAACCTTCATCGTCTGAGCTCGAATAACGATTAAGGCCTCGTTCGGTTGCAGGAATAGCTCCTAGAACGATTCCTAGCTGGATTACTTGCTAAAATTATATAGTCTTTGATCAGCTAGAACGATCCCGGAGATCCGGACCAACCGAATGAGCCCAATTATCTTGTCGGTGTCTATGATAAATGAACATGTTTCCTCTGTAGAAGGTGTTATTTCAACCTATATTTTCTTTGTCTTGGATGAAAAATTAGGTGATCCGAATACTAATACATAAGAGGTTATATATTGTACATTTGTACTGCTGCAGAGTAAATTTTATTATGTTATTTTTAGATTACATGCTTACAACAGTGTAACTTTATCACCGCGTGATCACCATGCCTTGCTTGTTTACTTCAGTAAATCATGATGGCGCAGGTAAGAAGGGGGGAAATGTTGGAGTTTGCTGTAATCTCTTATGATAACAAGTATCAATAGCTGCTTGGGCCTTGGCCCTCTCCTCCAACATCTTATGGATCTCCTTAGAAAGTTGTCCATCGGTCGTAGTCTTAACGATGTTTTTGGGATTTGTTGGATCTATCAAATCACCCTTTCTATTCGGCCATTATAATAAATTTCATTGAATTCTTCCCCATTAAAGTCGCCAAAAAAGTATGTTGGCGCAAAAGGTGGCCACACACTAGAGCGCTAGACGAACGTGCGGATTACAGATCAATAAATCCTCGGCTGTAAAACCTTTGAACACTGGTCCGAGAAGGACCCTGTTGGGATTAGTGCACTTAGAGTTGTTCTAAGGTCAGCAAGGCGGCTTAGCACGACTCAAGTTGTCGTAGAGACGAAGAGAGAATAGAAATTAAGGTTGAAAAAGTATTTATGGTTTGGAGAAAAAAAATAGTAAACTTGTAGGTTTTGGTCCATTGAGAGGATATCCTCAATTGACCGAATTCCTTTATATTTATAGGGCGAGAGGCCTCTGTCCCGGGATAAAGTTTGCATACATCACGAATACGACATTAAAACCGACCCGAAACAAACAAGAAACCAGGACGGCTAAACCGCCGGTACACGTATACAGCACGGGGCTACCAATTTTGACTGCAAACAGTACAAACATCAGATAATAGTGGTCAGCACCGAGTCATGTCATGCATCATGAAATTGACCACCGAACGAGTGAGAGAACCACACAGAGTTGCAGCAAATAGAATTGTCCCAAACTTGAAACTACAATAAGGCTTGACTGCCTGTTGATGATACTCACAGGGGTTAGATATGTGTCCGTAAGCTCGTATGAGTATAGCGTGTTTTGGTAAAAACAAACAAACATCCGAGCCAGATTATGCATCGTGATCCATTCTCATGCACCGTCCGAGATGCAGTCAAAGACAGTTGTGAAAGACAAAAACGCCAAGCTCCGGTTTCCAAGGCGGGAGGGCGACGCCGACGCCGAACCTGTTTGGAGTTGGAACTCGAAGCGAACAATCAGTATCCGCAGCCAGAGAAAACAAAGGAAAAGAAGCGCGCGCGCAAAAGACGACGGCAGGAACGCCGGCGCTGCAGCACTGCGAATGCGACTGCGACTGCGACCTGACCTGCACAGCCGACGCAGTCGTCTGTCGCCCCAGCGCTCGATCGGGCAGCCATTCTGAATTTCTGATTCAGCAGCCCGCCCACATTCCAGAGAAAACGTCCCCCCCCCCCCGAAATGCTCAATGATTGGTGCCCGCGCGCCGCATTGTCCATGCCGCACACGTCGCGTCCCATGTCGTCATGCCTCGGGCAGCGCGCACGCCGGGGCAGCCCCCACCGTGTCCGGTGTCCCCTTCCGCGAGCACCGCCGCGCCCCGGCCCGTCAATTCCATGTCTCCCCGTCGCGTCGCTTTGTGGGAGCTGTCCCTGAAAACGGGCCTTCAAAAGAACTGCGAGCTCGGCCTCTTACCTCTGACAGTCATGTTCTCCCTTCCGGCCTTCCCCCCTCTCGCTCTGCTTTTACTTTTCCGTCACCAGCCTCGGTTAGGCTTGGATCCTTTGCAAGATCTGCATCTGCTTGCTCACTTCCACTGGAAATATTCTCCGGCCAGCACCACCGGCGCAAGGCAACAAGAATATACCGCCCCTCGGGCACCAACCCACACGTCGGGGCCTCGTCTCGTCTCCTGTTGCTCTGGCCTCTGGGCTCTAGCTCCCCTGCTTTAAAGCTGCAGGCCTTGGTGGGTTCCTGGTCATATTGTATCGATGAACCACTCTGCAGTCTGCTCATCGCTTCTCTGATCCGATCGATGCCACCATAGCGGTCAATTAGACCAGCCTTTTCTTTCAGTGCCTTGTGTCTCAGTCTCCCTTTGCTTCTTTTTCTTTTCTGCTCTAGCTTGCAGTGCCTTTCACGCTCCTGTGACATGCTCCCTCCGTCCCTAAACATTAGGCGCCATGATTTATGTGCCAGATAACTTTAATTTGATTTATAAAAATACGTGCAACATTTTTATTTTCAAATAAATTTATTAAAAAACTAGATTCAAATATCTATCAACGATACTAATTATGTATTATAAATATTAATATTTTTTAATATATATTTAGTCAAAATTGTTTCTCCAAAAAATCAAAAACAACATACATTCAGGGAGAAGTGACTACTCGCAGTAGTCTGCTTGCTTTTTTCCTTTGAGCTGAGTGAGACCGAGAGGCACAGGCACTAGCCCTTGCCGTATAAAACGTGTCGCGCGTAGGCGACTAGGCTGTCCCGGTGGTACGCGCACACACTATATTGGGGTTGCATCAGGCATCCGATCGGCGAGATGAGGAGGAAAGGGAGCGAGTGCACAAGGATCAGCCCAGCTGAGATCGGCGCCGGCACGCCCATGCTCTCCCTGGCGTCCAGATCCGGCCGGAGCGCGCCGTCGGACCGGGACCGGCCTCGGCAAGTGCGGGGCGCCTGCGGCTCTCGCCTGCTGCGGACCGCGCGGTGGACGGCCGCGCGGTTCTACAGGCGAGCGAGAGTAAGCATCGTCAGGGCGTTTCGGTCCTCGTCGTCGGCGACCAAGAAAGCAGCTGCTGCCACTGCTGCTTCACCGGATTGCACGCCGGCGAGGCATAGCAGTAGGCGGCGGCAGCAGTCCGCGCCACCGGTGGTCGTCGATGACTCGCACAAGAGCGAAGCGGTGGAGGAGTGCATCAGGTTCATGAACTCGTCGTCGAGGAAGTACCGGTAGAGTTCTCTGGGGGTTCTGTGTGCGCGGATGCAGTGGCGTCTTTCTTGTATCTGTTCCTTCTTGTTTTTTCTTTTGCCTTTCATCTATGTGCGCATCTGATCAAACCTTGTACTTGAGAAACATACTGGCTACTTCTTTGATCTTTGCGTCCCCTGAAATATCTCATTGCCGTCTAATATCAAAGTCTGTCGGTCAGTGAGTCTGTTTATATATATTTTTTCATTTGAGTGGAACAACATTTTTCATCTTATTAAGTAAGCAATTCTCTGTTTTTAGAAAAAAAAAAGATAATATATTAATATCTCAGCTTCTGCATCGACCATATTTTTTCATTTGAGTGGAACAACATTTTTCATCTTATTAAGTAAGCAATTCTCTTTGTATCTAGCAGATATTACAGGAGCTGGCGTCTCCGGTTGATGACTCGATGTCCTATCGCTCTCCAATGTTTGTTTCTTGTTCGAGATTTTTTTCTTCAATCTTCATGTACTAGTATCCGAGCGATCAGGATAAACTAGAGCTAAATCTATGACATCATTTTCTTATCTGTCAGAAGACGAACAACTTTTTCGCAAAAGAAGAAGAAGACGAACAACAAAAGCCGCATATATTCAACGAAGCAGATAGAGGAGATAAGAAAGCATATGTAACTGAAGCAAACTTCTGAACATCCTTATGGATCCAATCAGCCCAACCTACGGTGAAACAGAAAGAAAGATTATATTGACAAAGGAAGCATATGTGAGAGCAGAACAAAAAGAAAGATTGCAATGGAAGGCAAAAGACGAAAATATACGTAGCATAGAGCTGTTTTGTGTTTGGATTGAAGCCCGGACAGGCAGCACTTTTGGCCCCTGCATCTAAAACCTAATAGAGTCAAAACACATTTCCAAACTTGATTTTTTTTTGGCAAGATTAAATAACCCACTCTTCAACGACTCCCTATCTCTCCGCATTTGGAGAATCGATATAATTGCACGAAAATATACACACATGTATTGTTAGAAGATTTGGCTGACCTAAATAATAACTAGAAAGACAGGCGCGGCCTTTCCGTGACATTCATTTGATTGAGCCAACGTCGTTGTTATTATTAGGGATATACGTATATATAAAAAAATATAAAGATGAATCTTGTTCCAAGCTTCATAGTTCCATGTCGTGGGCCGGAAAGAGGTTTAGTATAGGGCCCTTTTCAGGGGCAGCCCAGTGTGTGTCCCATATTTTATAAGAATAGCTCTTCAGAGGCAGCCCGGCTAGGCTCACCTCACGCGCAGCCTCCAGCCCACCGGCCCAACCGGTGCCACAACTCTCCAACTCCCGACTCCTTGGCGATGGCGACTCACGATTCATTCACGAACACAGGCCAGGACGCGAGCCGCCGCTCCCTTAGCTACGACGCCTCCGGCCTCCACACTTCGACAGTCCACCGCGCCCTCCCGCGACCGCGCGTTCACGCCCAGACCGAAGCCACCCCCGCCGCTGCTATCCGCGCTAGTGCTACCGGCCTCGAGCTTCTGCTCTCCATGGCGGCCGGTAGGATCCTGAGCTGCGCTCCTCCATGAGGGGCTGAAGCTTTGAGCGGAAAGGGGCCAGCAGCCGACTCCAGGAGACAGCGCCGCGGCGCTGTGGCAGCACCGCTCTGGCGCCCGACGCCCGACGCCCCCAGCAACACAGTGGACAACACAGGTAAAATCTAGGGCGCCCGACGCCCCCAGCAACACAGTGGACAACACAGGTAAAATCTAGGGTCTCCCAGACTATCAGGTTGTCCTATAAATATTCCTGCAAACTAAAAAGATCATGTTTTTTTTTTGAGATTTTGCTACAGGACACCGCTAAAATGCATAATATGCTGATGAACACCGTCAAGACGAGAATTTATCTAAAGTCACCGTAAATTCGTGGTTCTTTGCCTAAACACACCGCACCGATTATTATACCGCACCGATTATTGTAATCATTTCTCATATCTGCGGAGAGAGAAGGTGGGTGAAATGACTCTTTTGTCCTCGTCTTCCACCTCCGGCTGGTCATTGATTTTTGCTATAACACATCGCCGCCGCTTTTTTTCTTCTCCGGCGAGGTCTCGTCCTGCTCCCAAAGACCAGTGAGCCCCCGCAGCCACCTCGTCTTGGCGTCGTTGACTCGTCGCCACCTAGGCATCACGTGGTGGGCCGAGACTTCAACAGTCCATCTTCCTCCTCACTCCATGGCCATGGAAGCCATGAAGAGCTGCTGCTCACGTGGCGTGGGAGGGAGGGCTCTCGGCCGGGGCTCGTCGGCCATCATCCGCCCAAGCAAAAGACGGCAAGGCTGAAGCGGCGGGCTACAGGTCACCTTGCGGCGTGGGGGGTCCATGTGAGCTCATTGGGGAGACGGCGGTGGGGTCGGGGGGTGGCGTCGGTAGCCACAGGCTCGCGCTATGATGACGGGCGGGAGGGCCTCGGCTAGAGGGGAGCAAAGACGGCCGGCAAGAACATGGTAGGTTGGAGCGGCGGCTGGCTGGCAAAGGATGGTCGCTGGCGGCCCGTGTGGGGCTGGCCGCGGAGACGGTGGTAGGGTCGAATTTGGCACGACGTCGGTCGCACACGAGGGCGGGAGGCCGGCGTCGGGTCAACTTGACCAAGCATGTCGTGTTTGGCGGCGGCGTGGTGTGGTGCGGCTTGATGGGTGGATGAGGAAAGGTTGGAGATGGCAGGAGAGCAGAGAGGAAGGCGGCGCCGTCCATGGAGTATGCGGATGCCGCTCTCGAGACGAGATGCCTAGGTGGTCGCGAGTCAGCACGGCGTTAGACGAGGTGGTGTCGGGCTCGCCGGTCTTGGAGAGAAGCGGGACGAGACCTCACCGGAGAAGAAAAAAGGCGGCGGCGATGTGTTCTGACAAAAATCAATCACCGGTCGGAGGTTGAAGATAAGGGTAAAAGAGTCATTTCACCCACCTTCTCTCTCCGCAGATTTGAGAAATGATTAAAAAAATCGGTGCGGTGTGTCTGGGCAAAGAACCACGAATTTGCGGTGTCTTTGGACAAATTCTCGTCTTGGCGGTGTCCATCAGCATATTATGCATTTTAGCGGTGTCCTGCAGCAAAATTTCCCTATTTTTTTTAGCTTAGAACAGTCTAATAGATATAATTAATTCAACATTCTTGAAATACGTACGCAGATCATGTAATTGTAAAAGGTTTTATCAAAGTGACTGAGGCCACAAGAGCAGTTTGTATCTCTATTCAATCGGACTATCGAGAATATTATTCAATTATGTAAATTATATTGATGGGATTATCTCTCTGTAGACTATATTCTTTGTAATTGATCCACAAGACCCATCCTCATTTTCTATCAATATTTTTAGACCTTTCTTGCTTGTGACACGTGATACTGCAACATATAGCAGTCCATGTGTAAATACTTGTTTTTTTAGATATAGTCCTACTTTTGATAGTGTCTGTCCTTGGCTCTTGTTAATTGTCATCGAGTAACAAACTTTAATTGGGAACTGACGGCGATTTAAAGTAAAGGGCCAATGGGATGCTTTTGTTGTTAAATTTATTCTTGGTATACATGTCTTATGTCCAGTATGTGTTCCTGTTATGATAACTGCTTCAATAACATTATCCCTTAGATTCGTTACTATCAGTCTTGTCCCATTACATAGGCCTAAGCTCTGGTTGAGATTTCTCAATAGCATTATTGGAACACCAATTTTAAGTAGTAGTTTATGTGACGAAAAGTTATTAGCATTTGAGTGTATTAAGGTATTTAATAGGCTATAAAATATTGGCATCATTATATGTATCTGAGCATTTTGATATACTATCTGCACTTAAATATTCTCTCTCTAAGCCAGGGAGTAATTTTATCATGTAGTTGTTTATTTCATCAACAATTTCATTAGTGGTTGCTAGTATAGCTCTTTCTTTTACATAGTCTACTTCTTGAAATTTTTCTTCAAAGTCTGGATAAGTAGAGTCCACCAATGCTTTTATCTTATCCCCTGTGGTTCGTATCAGTAGTTCTTCTGGTATTTCAATTAGCACAGAATCAGAGTCATTGTCAATATGAGATGCCTCCTTGATTGTTCCACCGCCAATCCTTAGCATCCAATCATTGAAAGATTCTAGCTCCTTGTATTCAGTACTATTTTTATTTATCCTTTGTATGGAGAATTCAAGAATCTGAGATCAAAGAGACGTTGAAAAGGATGAAAGGAGGTAAGGCGATAGGACCTGGATTGTATCCTAATCGAGGTGTGGAGATGCATCGGGGACATAGGTATAGTATAGCTAACCAAACTGTTCAACCATATTTTTCGATCGAACAAGATGACTGACGAGTGGAGAAGTATATTGGTACCGATCTACAAGAATAAAGGGATATTGTGGGAGCCTGGGCAACAACAGTATGGCAGGCACCGACGTCTGTCATAACAGAAGAAGACGACGCAACCTTCCATGTGCATATGACATTAAACAGTATTATAGGCGCCTACCATCATCTTATACCCACCGATATGGGCAGCAAGACTTAGTAGCATACGTATTTCCTCCTTCTCATTTGTAAGGCCATCCCCTTCATCTATAAAAGGGGTGAGCTCTCTTCCAGTTTATTCAGATCGATCAGTTCACTTACATTGATTCACCCTTTGTAACTTTAGACACTCTAAAGTTATACCGAGCACATGTTCGAACACTTAGCACATAGCGGGGCTCCCATGACTCTCGGTCCTTCAGATCAGAGTCCGACCGGACCTCTTGTACCCCCATCTTTCTCCCTTCCGTTTGTAACCCCACAGCAAACTTTGAGCATCTGAGCTCAGGAATAAAGTCACCGACCGACTCAAACTGGACGTAGGGCACGTTGCCTGAACCAGTATAAACCTTGTGTCATTGAGTGCTAGGCCACCTCCGATCACAACGTACAACAAAACTACAAATATTTACGTGTTGGTCACTTTCTGCACCGACAAGTTAGTTTTGAGAGCTTGTCAGTTTGGTTAGT